GCAATTCTTGGATGGGAATATGGGCCCAGATGAGGTAGAAACTTTAGTCGAGACTGAATGGGAGAACATTTATAAAGTCGAGGCGAGGTGAAATTGGATGGCATCGTGAGGCCCACCAATTTCATGGTGGGAAATACTCCATTTTCGGTCCTTAAATCAGGCATAGCGATCTAGGCCGACTCGCTTCTTAAACTCCTTTTTCTTCTTTTTATTTTTCTTCTTGCTTCCTTTCTTTCTTATCCTTCTGCTTCTGCCTTTATCTTATTCGTTTTCTTCATCTTCATCCTCTAATACTTCTTTTCTTCTTCCTTTTTCTATTTTTTTTCTTCTTCTTCTTTTTCTTCTTCCCTCAACAAAGACGCTATCTCATGAGCAGGACACCTTAACACAACCTGATCAGACTAGTGCCCGAAAATTCTTGATAAGAGTGTTATTAGTCTGCTTGTGTATCCATGCTGGTGAACGAAGGGAAAGACGCAACACGACAAAGCTGTAAGTAGTCTGTCGCTCAAGTCCACCCTCCCGGTCAGCTATACTCTCCTCTCGGAGTAGTGCCGTCCACAGTCTCGGATGGACGCCAATCGGGGACACCTTCGTCCACCCGAGGCACCTTAGCCCCCGAACCACTTGGTCGGAGACTAGAGGGCGCGACCTGTCTGGCCATGGCAACGAACTGGCCGAATTATGCATTTTCAACCAGATTCCCGTGCATGAGGTGAGCCGGATCAAAGCCAACCTTGTCTCGACGCGAGATCTCGCGAAGGCGATAACATTTGATGAAAAACGTTGAACCAGCAGATGCAATTTCAAGCCTACCCTTCACACTTGACTTATCCGCTTGAGGCAGACAGCTCTTGAAATTGCGAACCATTTTTTCTTCCGATACAAGACTTAAATCGGTCCAAAGAGATCGCATCACGCCGCGCTGCACACATACAGACAGGCTTTTTAACAATTCCAAAGTATTTTAATGTGACTCATTTTTTCAATTAGAAGCAACCGTTGCTTTGAATGGAATTGGTATCATTAGCGACCGAAGGAAGATTACTTTTCGTGAGGTGGAGACTGTTGGATATCGTCGTCAACAACAATTTAGCATCACAATTTTGCTTCATTATTATTATTATTATTATTATTATTGGCATTGAATCTATCAATAGTATCATCTTACAATCCAGATCCATACGGGCAAAACTTTTGTATGCTTTATCCCGTAGGAGCGAAAGATAGCAGCCAAACACAAGACCAAACGTAAAATCGTAAAATCGTATACCTGATTTTGCCATCGTAACCAGGTACGCCATCATTCATTTGGCCACTTTATGATCCCCTCAACATGTTGCTGAGACACGAATAGAATCCGCGTTTGATCATGCAAAGTTGGCGCATGTTTAGGTATCTGGTACTGTGTGTGTGTGTGTGTGTGTGTGTTGTGTACATGAAAAATGTGGATTATGTGAGCCCCAACAGGACTCGAGGATATTAAAGCCTCTTTTTCTTCCTCTCATCAAGCCCAGATACAAGCAGTTGGCATTCCATTTCCTACACCCGTTCCTCCAAGCCAGGATTTCGGCTATTTTGGTTGTTCGCATGGACTACCAAATGTTGATCGTACGTATGAATTCCAACCGGGTGTGGCCTCAATTTTAATCACAGAATTCTTTCGCTGTTCAGAACTATTTTGAACTCGTCTTGGAGAATTGGTCCGAAGTTCTCTGCCTGCGTGATCCTGTTAACTTGCAGCCACCGACCGTACAATTTGTACCCTACCACAAGTTACAAAGTACGAATATGACTGGCAAATTATTACGGGAATTTGCCATTTTTGAGGCTAATACTTTGGTTTGCCCTACTTTGGCATTTCACTCAAACTTTGTCTCCAACCAAAGAGCATGAGTATAGGCCACCGTATTTGTCGAATTGTGAATTGAGACATTTGATACTTGTTTCATTCTTTTAAATTTATTTGACGACATGCATTATCGGGGATTCGGAAGCAATCGGAGCTTTATTTCACTCCGCAAACCAAAGTAAGCTGTGTTTGATACGAATATCTTTCGAGACTCTCAGTTATCGTTGAATAATATACCAGGAACATGATGGTATGTCTTTGTGTTTGGCCACAATCTCCTGTAACCAGATCAGTTGTACATAATGTTGTTCTGA